GTTTCATAAAATTTAGAAAAAAAAAATGAATTTTTTTTTTTCAAATAACCCATAATTTTTACACTTAACAAGAAAATAAAAATAAATTTTCTTGCAACAAAAGCAATAATACAAAAAAAAAAATTTACAGCCCAATATATTTACACAAAAACATTACTGCAAAGAAGCTGTCTGAATAACGAACGAGTAAACAAAACACATAAAATCAAAGTTTTTTTCTGTTTTAACAACGTAATATTGAAGAACAAAAAAAAAAAAAACAGCAAAAGTTGGGAATGACTGAAACTGACACAAATAAAGAGAAAAAAAAAAAACTTGATGAAACTGTTAAAATATTACGGGAATAATTTTAATTGGCGATAACGACTGTTGTAACAGTAACGGTGTGGTAATAAAAGTAATATAATAATAATAATAATAATAATAATATAATAATAATAATAAGAAGAAGAAGAAGAAGAAGAAAAAGGATATTAATAGAAAGAATAAAAACTTACTGCAGCAGCAAAACAGCAAAATAATTTTTAAAAAAATTTATTCAATTTGAAATGTGGTAAAAAAAAAGGGGCTCTTAAAATTTTGTAGACGAATGGTTGCATGGCTAAAAGACGGAGCAACAAAGATCCGAACACAAAGGAAGTGTATCTGAGTCATAACCGACAACATACTGAACAACAGGAAAGAGGAAACAGCAATCATGTGAAATAAGGAAAAAAAAAAAGCTGATGAACAATTCATGCCAAAGAGCTTTGACTCCTGAAAAAAATTTTAGCTTAACAATTTGGATGAGTAAATGAAAATTACCGGCAACACCGAATATCCTCTCTCTTCAAATAATTAATTTATTAACACTTATGGTACAGTTTTTTTTTTGCTGGCGAGCTAAAATTCTCTATCACTACAGAAAATAGTTCCAAAAAATGCCAGTAGTTCAGCTGTTGTCCGTTAGATAATGCTAATTATCCTGACATAATACGGGATATCTTTAGGCTTATCATCATCATCATCATCATCATTATCATCATCGTCATCGTTGTTCTTATTATAATAATAGCAATACAATAGCAGTAATAACAGTGGTTAATAGAAGCGTT